GCTCAGCAGCACCCCACTGCTGCTTTCCAGTTTTATCAGCTGCAGACTTGGGGAAGCGGTGCGGAGCAGAGCAGCTGGGGTGCTGCCGGGTTGGTCCCGCAGCGCCGCCCCTCACGGCGATAACTACTGCGGTCTGGAGGGTGGAGAGCCTGCTCCCCTCACGGAAACTCTTGGTGCTGGCGCGGGGCTTCCCTCACCTTCCTGCAAAACGGCAGAGGGTTCTCGCCCCTTGCCGCGCCGTTCCCCACCCACCCCCTGGCCGGTTGCAGTGCAGGTCCCGGCAGACCCCATCACAGGAGTATAATCCTCTTCCCCTCTTCTCCCCTTCTCTTTCCCAGCCATCAGCGCCCATGGGGCTCACAGCAGCTTCAATTGTCTGGCTGGCCAGAGCACTTCCGGGTTCAGTTGGTGCCGGACTATCGGGAGTGCCAGACCACTGGATGCCAGACAATTGGAGTTTTACTGTATTTAGATAAGGATAACTGCTCCCAACAAGTGACTAATATGATGAAGTTTTGCATCTGTATGCCTTTGCTATGGTAAAGTTATGGGAAGAATCATGCTCGTCTCATGCACTGGGTTCAGAAAGTTCTAGCTGATTTTTAATAGCTAGTAGATATGAACCTCTTCCAGCATCTGGTGAATTATAAATGAATCTTTGTTTGGAGAAGGCACTTTTTGGGATGTTGCCCCTGAATGAACATATAACTTGTGACTACCAGCAGAATGTATGTAAAGGGTAATTCAAAGGACGACTCTTATACACGAATTAAGATCTCATACACAAAAAGGGTGATTTTTTTTTTCCATTTCTCTTTCTTAGTCTGAGGATTGTTGGTCCTGGAAAATAATTTAGCCTTAGACAGTTCCTTCGATACCAATGGTGCTAGCAGCAACCAATGGATTGCTATGTGGACTTTGAAAGTGAGCATGTAGGCACGTCAGCAATCTCAGCTGCTACTTTCTCTACTGTTCCCAAGAACAGTTCTTTGCTTGAAAATTTAGCTGCAATAAGGTTTCTACTTACAATGATGGATTGTATTAATATGTGAGACATTGATTCCTTGTAGACACAGAGTTCTGAGCCACTGCTCTTGCCGCAAATCAGTTAGACTACGACAGAACTGGAAACATCTCACTTTAGGTAAGGATTATGCACCCGCACGATGAGCCCTTTATTTGCCTTGCAAGAGGCTCTCTAATAAAAGTACAGGAAAAACTTTAAGACTGAATGGCTATAGCTGAGACTCAAATTGCTGTGCAGTATCTGAATTTTATTGGTGCCTGGGATCTTTTGGAAACAAGTCTTCTTCCGAAGGTGTAACTGTATTTCAATGGTGGAGCTGCTACGACACCACTCTTCAGCTCCCAAAATTTATGAAATTTCATATTTTTAAACACATTTTAGTTGAATGTTAATTTTAACCAGAAGATCTCCTTTAGATTTAATGATATCTCCAAAGGAGATGCTGGGAAATCATGTATCTCAGAAAATGGGAAAATATATTCAGTTCTTATAAGCCATGGGTGTTCTGTTCTGGGAAAGTCCTACAATTTTTGTTTTGGTGGGGTTGTGTGTTAAGGTTGGATGTTTTGCTGTTTAATTTTTAAGTGGAGAGGGATGCACAAAGCGCAGAAGAACTTCAGAGTAACCAACTGCCATGTTCATAACTTTGAACAGATGCTATGCTTGTTCTTTTTCAAAAACTTTACAATCAAACATTGATTTCAGACACTTTTGAAACTGTGCAAAAGTAAAATGCTTCTTTCACCATCTTAATTTCAATTAAACAAGCAGAGAGACAGTTTACTGTCATTTTTCTTTAAAAAAATTTCCCTTTACTTTTTTAGTAATTTACATTTAGCACAATATTGTGCAGCACAGTATTTGCTTTTAATTTTTGTCTCTGCTGCCTGATTGTGTACTTCTAGTTAAAAGTGAGACACATGATTGACTGGTCAATTTGTAACTAATGCTGTAACTCAGATTCTTCTTCTGGATGTTCACATGGGGAGGTAACATGCTGCCCTGCAGATTACTCAACCAAGGAGAGGTCCTGGGACTAATACCTCAATTGTGAGAATAGCCTGTTAGATAGCCCCAGGAACCTGAAAAGATACCTTTTTTCCTCTACCATGTTGGCATGCAAGTACATTAGGAAGGACTTAGTACCACTTGGGATTTCACTCAATCCAACAGGAGCCATGTTTAACATTAAGGGATCTCTCACCTACCTGTAATCCCATGGTAGTACAGCTTCATGAGGAATGGCGTTTCCAGGTATCAATTATTCCTCAGATTTCATGTGCAGACTGCTTATGGAGAAGGGGGAAGGACAGAGACTCCCCATTCTGCCTTTTAGATTCTGAGCTCCTTTCCCTGACACAGTGAGGGGCCACAAGGAGGTACAATTCTGGTTATACTGCAGCCCAGTGCAGAGCTTCATAGGGATTACAGAAGCAGCCAGGCAGGAACTAGATTTTCAGTTTTTACAGGATATTCCACAATTTCCATTTTCTCCCATTCCATAACAAAATAAACAAATTCAAAAATTTCCCATGAAATAAAATTCTGAAAAAAAAATTGTTAATTGAAACATTGTTTCATTAAAACAGAAGCATTTTGTTCTGATTTTTACTTTGATAGATCAATTACTTTGATGTATCAATTATTACTTTGAAACAGCATTTAATTTTTATATTTTACATTCCAAAAATTGTTCCAAAAAAGGATGTTTGAACCTTATTTGAAAGCTCCACTGCATTTTTTCCCTAAGCAAAGTTTCTGAGTCCACCCATTTCTGTGAAAACTGTCACTTTTGACAAATCAGCATTTTCCAACCAGCTCCAATTATTTAGATTAACAATGCTGTTCATCCATAGTTTTCTCAATATTTTACAAAGGGAGAAAAAAAGTTACTATCCATATTTTACATAAGGCAAAATGAAAACACTGACATTGAGTGACTTGCAACAAGAGACACAGAATTAGAATCCACACCTCCTGGCCATAATCTTATTTTTTCCCAATCTCTAATTATTATAATTCCAAGACCTACAGGAGAAATCTAATATATGTTCAAATTAGATTAAAAAGAAAGCATGCACTATGGAAGGTAACACTAGAATCATTCTTTATAGAAAAGTTTTCTTTAAATAGCTAATAATGCATAAAGTCTGTTGAATCAGACAAATCCATGGCCTTTGATGTTTGCTTTAATGTCTGCTTTAAACTGCCAATTCAGAATAGTCTGTTCCAGTTTAAGCAGAAAGTACTGCCCAATAACAAAAATTATTCATTAAATAATAAAGCACTATCTTATAGGTCCATAAAAGGCTATTAGCCAGGGGATAAAATGGTGTCCTTGGCCTCTGTTTGTCAGAGGCTGGAGAGGGATGGCAGGAGACAAATCGCTTGATCATTGTCTTCGGTCAACCCTCTCTGGGGTACCTGGTGCTGGCCACTGTCGGTAGACAGGATACTGGGCTAGATGGACCTTTGGTCTGACCCAGTACGGCCGTTCTTATGACATAAGAACAGCCATACTGGTTCAGACCAAAGGTCACTCTAGCCCAGCAGTTTGTCTTCTGATGGTGACCAATTCAAAGTGCACCAGAGGGAATAAAGAGAACAGGTAATCATCAAGTGATCCATTTCCTGTCACTCCCAGGAAAACAGAAGCTAGGGACACAGTCTCTGCCCATACTTGTTAATAGCCACTGCTGGACCTATCCTTCATGAATTTATCCAAGCTTTTTTGAACTGGACTAAGACTACTCAGAGAACACTGAATAGCCAAGGACTTTTGGATTCTACCAAGTTGTGCTATACTAGAATCAATGAGTTAAGAACAAATGATTCCATTTGCTAATCTCCTAATTATGCTAATCGTAGATTAGGGATATAATAGTGTAGTTGCTTAACAAATAAGCAAAAGCTTATAGGTTAATGCTACAGACTACACACATTTCCTCTACCCCCGGCCAGTAATTTTTTTAGCAGACTGGCTAGCAGCCCAGCTCAGTTTTGGCTTGTGCCAGGTCTGGGACCAACCCCCGCTGTGGCTCTGTATTTAAAGTATATCAGGAGCCAGGTGGGCAGGCAGCCTGGCTCAGTTTAAGCTCGCGCCGGGTCCAGCTCAGACCCACCCTGCACATGGACTTCTGCCACCTCACGCTGCTCCCTCTGTATCCCTCTGGTCCATGAGGCGAACTGGTTTTTAAACTGCTCTCCTCGCAAGCCAGCACCCACCTAGCACATTGCACTGCTGCCTTTGATACAGAAGCAGCAGCGTGAAGTGGAAGGGGGCTCCTTGGGAGTGGAGCCGGAGCATACTGGCTGCCAGCCCCACCCCCGGGGACTACAGAATAGTCAAGTAACCAATAAGAATTCATAAGGTTAGTCAACTATTCAATTAACCGATGTTTAACATCCCTAGCTCAGATCAATTTATTTCTGAAGTAGACCAAAGACGTGTCAGTTTAAAATACACTTTTAACCCTCTTTAAAATATTTAATAAATATAGAACACACACTTCGGGCTCAGACTCGGCAGCAAATATTATTATTAAAACATAATATGCACTATACCTTGAAAGCTTTGTTTTTCTCTTCTTTTTGTTGTTTCTCCACCTCCACATGGCGTGCTAAGCGATCTAGAGTTGAAGTAACCCTTTCCTTCTGATAGTCAATGTGGTCTTTTCGCTTTACATTCCTCTACAAATAAAAATAAATCTTTTATTTTGTAATCTCTAGGCAATAAAAAGGTATAAATAGTGTCAAGCAAAGGTGGTGTGCAGGTGCAAGAACATAAGTGAGTGCGGACACACCAATTTTAAGTTTCTATGAGCTACCTAGTCACTGGTTTTATCAATTTAGGAGCATCTGTAATGTTTGTAAAATATTCTAGCTCAAATTAGTATTGGTGATGCCTGCCCTCTCCTAAACTGGCCGGATCACTAGAAAAGACAGCTAGTTGCCTTTGATTTCCCAGTAGTTTCCACAGGCAGCAATTTTAGCTTGAGAAAAACTGTTGCCAACACCACAGTAGAGTGACATAAGCCATGACCATATGTATAGATGTGATTCAGTGAAAAGACAACAGGTTCTCTTGCTTCTCCCTAAGAGGCAAATTCCTTCATCTTTTTACTCCATTATACTTGTAAAATAACAAAAACTGAAGTAAAATCATCAGAGCTTAAAGAAAATGCTTTCAGTTTCAAGAAGGGTGAAAGTTATGACACAATAAGGGAGTAGGGTGCTTTTGCCTTCAACTTCACAGTAAGAAGAACAGCAAGGGATTTTAGAGAGCTTGTCTAAACATTATCTTCGTTTAGGACAATAATAATGCTTTATGGCCTCTTATCATTGTATCGGCCCCAAGATTTGAAAGGAACAAAATGGATGAGGTAACGTTTTTGTGGCTGGTCCAGAACGCTCTGGATACCGCCTTCAAATAAAAACCTTAGAGAAGACTCAGAGGAATTTAAGGACATCTCACCCACCCACCCCAGAACCTTTCTACAAGCTTCCCAAGATATTTAAACAAGGAAACCCAGGAAAACCCATCATATCTGGCCACATCAGTTGCACTATAGGAATATCAGGACTTTCATGAACCATCCGCAAGCCACTCACCAAACAAAAAGGCTAGTTTCCTTCAGGACGCAACCAACTTCCTCCAGAAAAGACACCACATTAACAGCCTTCTTTAGAAAATTATCCTTGCACCTCCCTATATACCAATACCGCAATGATTCCTGCTTCAAATATCTACAAGACAATGGACAACACACTTATATCCTCTCCAAACATGGTCATTTTATCCTCACCCACAATAATTTTACATTCAACAACAAACATTTTGTCTAAGTCATGGAAATAGCCATTGGTACTATACTTGTTCCCAAATATGCAGCCTCTTCATAGCCCATCTTGAGGAAGAACTTCTAGAAATATGCATCACTAAGCCAATTATATATAACCTAAACTCTCTCATTTTTCCACATCTTCAAAAACCATCACTCATCTATCAAACTCTCTAGAATGCTCGCTCACCAGCATCAGCTTTCTGGACATCATGTTCAACTTCAACAGTGAAACCCTACCAGATGACATACAAGAAACCCATATGTAAGTGGGGGATTTCTCCAACCACAGTAGGGAAATGTCTCTATGACAGTACCACAGCTAAACAGAGTGACCAAAAGATGTTCTGGTATCCACTCACCCTGACTTTCTCTCTCAGCAGGACTTGCACCACAAAGGAAGAGCTAAGCTCAGAGGTTCCTGGGTGTTCACCTCAGTCTCTCCATAGACAACTCTGAACATGGATGAGGATAAACCTCCCTGAAGGTATTACAGAAGCTGTTTTGTTGTTGGGTTGGTGAATTGAAGTATTAAAATAACCACCAGTTTGGTGGGGGAAAGGAGGGGATTGGCTGCCCCATTCTTTGTAGGATTAAGCATCTTCAGTGTGTCCTCTCTCTCCTGCCCCAGGATGCTGGTGAGACACTGCAAGTCATTTAAACATATATGCAATTTATTTATACCAAAAACATTTCCGGGGGGGAGGAGGGATTAAAAAACACTTTCAGCAGAAGCAATGAGAGGAAATGGCTTGAGTAATGTTCAATGCAGTAGTCTCTAAAGCAGAACGAATTTTACAGTAACAACGGAAGTTACAAGTCTAGTCCTCCACCTAGATGTGCTGCTATGATGTTGTTGGTATGGCACTCACCCAAGATGGATATGGTCTCCACAACAAAGTCTGTTCTCCACCTTTAGTTCTGGCCTCCTGTCATGCCACCTTCCCCTGTGGGTCTGGCACTTGATACCTACCCCCTCAACAGATTTTGGCATCTCCCTGCTCCCCTCTACAAGTACACACAAATTTCCTGGAAGAGCAAGAGACTCGACCCATCAATATCATTACAATGCTTCTTCAGAGCAGCAACCAAAAAAAAAAGATTCCCCAGCTCCAAACTGCTTTTCTGGATGTTGCACCCGCCCTGATTCTGCTCTGCGCTGGAGTGCTAGCTCCATTACTGTGCTCTGGCAGCTCCAGTTCATACAGAGGATAGGCCGTGGGCTCTTAACTCCCTCATTGGCCTGCTCACAGTGTTCATCCAGTTGACTTCAAGTGCTGGCCACTCTCCCCTGGTCTGGGGACCTGTCAGTTCCAGGAACCAGATTCCTCTTTGGCCCTTCTTCTTGCTCCCAGTGTTGAGAAAGGGCCAACCACAAAGCCTAACGAAGTTTCAGTAAGGGCCAGAAGGGCTCTCTTCCATACTGACCACCACACTTACTAAGGATGTAAAAGACTATTTGACTATCTGATAAGCACTTGCTTATCAGATAGTATTCTGACTAGTCAACTACTCAATATCCCCTACCCCTTTCCTGCCTATCAAATAGCGGCAGCAAACGGGATTGAAGGGGTACTTCAAGGTGGCAGCACTGTATAAGGGCCAGAAGGGCTCTCTTCCATACTGACCACCACACTTACTAAGGATGTAAAAGACTATTTGACTATCTGATAAGCACTTGCTTATCAGATAGTATTCTGACTAGTCAACTACTCAATATCCCCTACCCCTTTCCTGCCTATCAAATAGCGGCAGCAAACGGGATTGAAGGGGTACTTCAAGGTGGCAGCACTGTATAGCAGCACTGCCACTTTGAAACCCCAAGGCAGTTTTTCAAAGGGGCAGCC